TTCCCTTTGATTTTTTATTAGTTGCTTACTTTGCAGATGAAGTATAATAGGATTCGATAACCTTAAAAACATTTTGCATAGAAAGGGTTAAAAGTGAATATAATAAACAAATCTTTTGTAATATTTATCCATAAAGATTGAAAAATCTTTTCTTTCTTTTTCTTTTCTTTATGTCTTTAATTTTTTTTTTTTTTTTTATATTTGTCAGAATATATAAAAAGAATATTTAGGTTCAAATATTTTTAAAATTTTCGGACTCATGAATATCTAAGTAAGTAATGTGTCGATAGTGTTCGATTCATTTTACATTTATAACTAAATAACATGTAAAAAAAGATATTAATGATATATAAAATGTAATCTCTTCTGTTTTCTGTTTAGGCATTGGATTATTGCCATAGTATGGGAATAATGCATAGGGACGTCAAGCCGCACAATGTTATGATAGATCATGAAAATCGAAAGTTGCGGTTAATCGACTGGGGTTTAGCAGAGTTTTATCATCCTGGTCAGGAATATAATGTACGAGTAGCTTCACGATATTTTAAAGGTCCAGAACTACTTGTAGATTATCAGGTTTGTGCATATTTTATCATTACATTAATCATTATCATTACAGTGTAATTTGTTTATACACGTTACTTCTCTCATATTGCAGATGTATGATTATTCATTAGATATGTGGTCTCTTGGATGCATGCTTGCAAGTATGATATTCAGGAAAGAACCGTTTTTTCATGGACATGATAATTATGACCAATTAGTTAGAATTGCAAAAGTTCTAGGGACTGAGGAACTATTTGAATATCTTGAAAAGTACCATATTGATTTGGATCTTCGTTTCAATGATATTCTAGGCCGACATTCACGTAAACGCTGGGAGCGTTTTATGCATTCAGAAAATCAACATTTAGTGTCACACGAAAGTCTTGATTTTCTTGACAAACTTTTGCGTTATGATCATTATGAAAGACTTACTGCACGTGAAGCTATGGAACACCCCTATTTTTGTAAGTATAACGAAGTATTAAAATTTTATTTTATGAACTATTACAAAATATAAATAAATATAAATTTTTATTTTCTTTCTTCTTGTTCACTTTAGATCCAATAGTAAAAGATCAAGGTCGATTAAATATGGTATCATCGTCACCTACTCCTATAACAGGTTCGTTGCCTGTAGGTGAGTAACGGCCCAGGTAATGTCACCATCTCAATTTTCAATTTATAATTATTTAATCATATCATTCACGTATTGTTGAATCGACCATGAGAAATACCGTGAATATTCATTCGCATCTTCGAATAAGATGCGTATCAATTGAACATCCATGAAGTTTGTATTGATTCGAATTTACAACTTCTATTTTACGATATTTATATAAACAAGGAATGAGAAAGAATGCCGAAAATATGAACACGTCGTGTTTGTATTGTAATGTACGAATACACGCAGTTCTGTTGATACTCAATTGAATGCATGAAATTAATTGTTGACATCGTCCGGCATTGTATAATTTAACTAATTCGCAATGATAAACATTGTTCTTGTAAAGTGTTCAAACGTTGAGCGTGGAAACACATTTATGTTGATATAAATCCTTAATATTAAGTATCCATCAGGAATCTTTTCCACTGCGAATTAGTTAAAGTAAAAAACTGTGTTACGCTTTACGCAAGGTCGTTCCAGCCATCTAAATAATGAGAGCAGGATGTACTGCATTGTGGCCAGAATATAAACATCTATTAGTGGTACTACTATAATTTGGAGTTTCAGGTGTGTGGAATGACCAATGCGACTTATAGTCATATTATAAAAAAACATACGAAATAGAGTAATGTCGGCCGTTAACAATATAGAACGATCTTCTTTTGCAAGTAATATATATTTTATTTTTCATGATACATTGTACTTTAGAATTTCATATATAAACAAGGAGATCGTTTCAAATGGTCATAATGTGACTAGAGATGCGGCTAAATAAATGTATGATTTGAAATATTTAAACGATTCAAGTCTATATGTCGTTTAGTATCGATTAATCTATGATTAGTATAAAATGTATAAAATGCTGACTTTTCTCATATTATCGCATCGAGAATCGGTTATAGCGATATCTCGTCGATTGTACGATGAATGCATTTTTCCTCGATATTAGTAACTGGAAGAAGTGATACGCGACAGTAATTATATCTGGAAGAAAATGTTTGATTCCTCTTTAATGAATGGTTAATATAATAGAAATTGATTAACTAAAACGCAAATCTGACTATATCTAATAATTTCCAAAGCTGTAAGTAGGTTAGAAATAGATAATTGATAATATATATACCATAGGATGTTTAACAAATAATAAATATAGTGTGCAATCGAAATCTTATACTGGAAAAGAACGTGTTACATACTGTTTCTAAAATCTTAAATTAATAACAGCAAATTGGTAAAACATGTCTTTAATAACTAAATCGATCCGTATTAAACGACAACTGGACTTGAATTCCTCAATAATTTCAAAACAAGCATTTTTTTAGTCGGTATGTGCGTATTTATAAGGAGCGTGCGAAGAATCAAACATTTTCATTTAGGTATCGATACTTCGCGCGAGGGAGCTTAATCCCATCCCTAAGCGTGACTGTGAGCAGCGTACCGGTTCGTGGAATAAACTGACTGAAAAATATGGTGGGACAAGTTGGAAATGGGATTCAGAAAACGATGAAGTATTCGTCACATCCGTTACATCCTTAACATATGGTTTACGATTTTTTGTTAGTTACGTATTAATTACGAACCTTCCATTCCACCTAAACTTGAAAAATTGAGAGGAAGAAAACTATTTTGTGCGATGGTGGACCATCCTTATGTAAATGGCAATTATATTTTGACGTGGTATATAAAGTTCTACACATTTTAGACATTCCTTGTTTTTCATCCTGGGTATTACATAGAAGAATTTGCGTTTGATATATTGAGAACAATCTACTATATGCGATTGACATCTTAAATGGCATAAACAAGGAGCAAACGATGCGTGTCAGAGATAACGATTTTACTATATTGCAAATTATTTAGGAACGGAAGAAAGTTTAAGATATTAAAGTGAAATCTATCTAAACGAAGTACATGCTCTATCCATATTGGACGGAATGCATGTGCCATTATTAATTGTATGTTGCTTTTCTGTGTTTTTGTAATCTATCATTTCTATTGTGTTCCTTTAACGCTGCTGCTAATGTCACGATCACGGGAAATCCGTAAATGCATAAAGATGCGATTCGATCATGTTATGTCACTTTGAAGATCGTCCGTTATTACATGAGACATTATAACGAAAATGATGCAAAATGAAAACCACGTGTATTTGCATCCATACAAGCGCGTACGACACACATTTACACATAGCACATACGTGCTTACACTTAACATGTACCTTAGGCCGCTCGGTTTAGTACTTTTAACGATGATAAAAATGTTCGTTTATATCTGATACAATGATAGTTGAATAAAATGTTTGTTATAGCCAAGTACTCTTTGTGCTCTGTGAATACCTGTATATCCAGTAATAGATGTTACCAAAATACTGGTAAAGACATCATTGATCAAACAATTTAAAAACGCCATTTCAAGAAAGCGTTTAAAATTCTAGCCCTTGTTAATTCTATATTTCTATGGTTATTTCTAGTTTCTATTGAGTCAAATCTATTTCGTATTAAACCGTAAAGATTTTTAGTTTCATTTTAATTAAACAAAGCGAAAATTCACAGGCACCTTAAACACTTGGCGCCAGCAGAAGCCTACGTACATGAACAAATACACATCGATAAAGAAAAAAAAAACATTCGTATTGCTGTACATTATATGCTTGACGCGCTGATCAAAAACTTAATGTCGATAATACCCATTAACTTGATCAAATTATTTTATATACAGCATTACCAATGTGTTTCTTATGAATTGAACATGTAATTATTTATATATGACCGTAAGCCAGTTTATTGTGTACATTTGAAAAAATTTTCTTCGTGAGAAAGAGGGTGAGAGAGAGAGGGAGAGAGATGTACTTTTAAAGAATGTATAGGAATAGAGCACACTCCACTTGTAAACCATGTCCTTTCGTATTATTTCGAAAGAATTCATCAGTTCCTATACGTATAAATTGCGCATAAAGTACGCTCAATTCATTATATATATACACATATATATACACACACACACACACACACACATATATATAGCACTTATATATAAATAATTATATATATATATATGTGTGTGCGCGTGCGTGTTCGTGTGTGTGTGTGTGTGTGTGTGTGTATATATTATATATATATGTATAGCATACATACATACACATTTACATACGTGGCATATTATAAATGCGTACCCTATCAAGCGGAGTGTGAATTTAAATTCAAAGAGCCGGAGTATGCTTTCGAATATTATCGGCTAAAGAGTAATGTTCGCTTCTTATTCTGATCACTGCGCCGTTTTTGCCTTATTATCGTGTATTTAAAGATTTTATATGTATATATATGTATATTTTATTTTTCAATAATGCATAAAAAATATATATACATATATACATAACGCAGATAAATAAAAATAAGTGGAAGGAGTACATAGATGTGTGAGATGGATACTGCGCTATAAATGTTAAAGATGTAAAAAAGAAATACTTTGTGTACAAGTAAAGTATAAATACATTTTATTTATTCCGCTTATAATCGTCGTATTGTTCGAACACGACAAATATTTAATTTGAAGTCACTTTCACACGGCAAGAACGGCGCAAATGTAATTGTCCAAATTTGATAACCCTCCCTGTTCATACGTTAAGTTTACGATAATCTAGTTTAGTTTTATAGGAAAAAAACTATTGAACAATTACTATTTAAATCTGCAAATGAACTTAAACGAAAAATTAAAATAACGAATTGTCACTAATGTAATTAATATATTATGCTAAATTTTAACGTTGATATTTTATCTTGCAACATTATAATTTAATACTATTCTGAAAATAGAATGTATCGTTAAATGAAAATTGCTGGGGAAGCCATTCTACCATTATCATACATTATAGGCCAGTTTTTTAATTATTATTTTCTATTCTGTCAAAGAATGGCTATATCCTGGTAGAAAAGTGCGCACCCAATTTTTCAATATACACCAAATGTATATTTGAATTTTATATTCCCTCATAATAATGCCAAAGTGATAAAGTGAAATTGTTTACATACTTCCTCGTTTTCTGTTTCTCTCTTAAGTTCTAAATTCTTTTTCATTTTAATGTGGGGTATTGTAAAACAGACTATTTTAACGCGGTTGAGGCATGACAATAAAATTAGCCAAAGTGCATGGAACTACTTTCATTTAAACTTATCATCAATCATAAAAATATGACGAAAGTAAAAAATGATCCATCCTGTATCGCGTGATTACAGGTTTTTAATGTTTTTGCAATATTTACTCTTGATAAATTATGATACGATGGTTAAATAAATAATAACGACAAATTTCAAAATTTTCCTTTATGCGGGTACAAAACATATGTTCATATATGCAGTGTAACAATAATATGTATAATTTACAACATGAAACACTGTAATACTAAAAAATGCTGTATAGAATTAATTGAAAATAGAAGCAAATACAATTTTGTTTATATCTAAAAAAAAAAAATTGATTCTTTTAATTATTGAGTTTTTTTGCAGAGGTAAAACAGTATTTTAAGTTCATTTTTTATTTCTTATCATCATACAGTTATATATGTAATTCTGTGTTCTGATCCTTTTTAATCTAAATCTATAATTAATTCTTAACATTGTAATGTTTAAAACATATAACACATTTATAAAAAATTTGTCATTTTAATAACTTTATTTAAAAAAGAAAAAATGGGAACACCTACAGGGAACATTTTTGTAGCTTGTCGTATATGTACGTCCTATTTTGGTAAATTAGAAATGTAGCAGGTTATGTTTTTGCAATGGTTTTATGTAATCGTGAAAGTTAATAATATGAACTCAATATATATGAATTAAGTTGACAAATTAATAATTTATATCTCAAATTGAATGAAAATATTTATCAGTATGCTATGTGTATAAATATTCATCTACTGTAGCATGTATAAACATCTCTCGTTGACTCATAACGATCGGCGTGTCACAGTTCAGTTACAGTCATAGTCATAGTACCATATATTGTTATCTTACGTATCTTTTAAAATTACTTTTAATTTCAATAATGGACGAAATTGATGGATTGCGACAAAGAATCAGAGAACTAGAAAACAAATTGCTTGAAGAACAGCATAAGAATAAGTTTACAACAAGAGAAAAAATAAAACATATGTCAAATGAAGTGATTGATTCAAATCCTTACAGGTAATTTTTACTTGTATGAAACATTTTTACTATATCGAATATTTTACAACTTAATTGTGTTTTAATAAAAAAAATTAAAAACGAAAATTTTTGTTAACGTTATCTCTTTACTAGTCGTTTGATGGCATTAAAACGTATGGGCATAGTGGATAATTATGAAAGAATAAAAGAATTAACAATTGCTATAATTGGAGTAGGTGGAATCGGTAGTGTAACTGCAGAAATGCTAACAAGATGTGGAATTGGCAAGGTAATAATATTACACAAATTTATGAATTAAAAACTTTCCAGTCTTCTAAGTAATAAACAATATAAATTTTAGTTGGTACTTTTCGACTATGATAAGGTAGAAATGGCAAATATGAATAGACTTTTCTTTCAACCTTACCAAGCTGGTCAAAATAAGGTAGATGCAGCAGCAACAACACTACGATATATTAATCCAGATGTAGAAATCGAAACCCACAATTTCAATATTACTATAATGGATCACTTTGAAGATTTCATGAATATCATAAGGTACATAAACATTATGTTTATATAATTATAATTAAAGTACTTAAATAATATTAAATTTCTGTTTTTAGCACAGCAAGTTTAAACAACAGCCCAGTAGATATAGTTTTAAGCTGTGTAGATAATTTTGAAGCACGAATGGCAATTAATACTGCTTGTAATGAACTTAACCTAAAGTGGTTTGAAAGTGGAGTTTCTGAAAATGCAGTTTCCGGTCATATTCAATTTATTATTCCTGGAGAAACAGCTTGTTTTGCGGTAAATAAAAATCGATATTAAAATACAAATAATGTATAAAAGACTAAAGCTCAGTCATAAGTAACATAACATATTACAATTTTAGTGTGCTCCTCCATTAGTAGTAGCAGAAAACATAGATGAAAAAACATTAAAACGCGATGGCGTTTGTGCAGCATCTTTGCCAACAACTATGGGAGTTGTTGCAGGTTTTTTAGTTCAAAACACATTAAAGTATCTTCTAAGCTTTGGTGATGTATCTTATTATTTGGGTTATAATGCGATGAAAGATTTTTTCCCTAAAATGGTATTAAAACCAAATCCAAATTGTGAAGATAAATATTGTAGAAAACATCAACAAGAATATGCATTAAAACCAAAACCAGAACAAAAGATGGAAGAAACTGTAGAAGATAAGCCTCTACACGAAGATAATGAATGGGGTACATGATAGTATAAATCCATAAAGCATCATTGTGTAATCAACAAATTAAACGATTATTTAATTATAGGGATTTCACTTGTTGAGGAAAAAGATCAACAGATGGATGAAAATGTGCATTTATCATCAGTGTGTATAAAATCAATGTATACTGCTTCGCATTCAATTAATTCACAAATTGATCAACTTCTGTCAGAGACTAATGCTAGTCTAGAAGAATTAATGGCACAGATGAAATCTATTTAAGTTTTACTTATTAATTACAATTCTATAAATATTATACATACATTCCGTTTATATTTGTCATATTATTTTCTAATAGATAAAAGAAATAAACAAATATATCGTAATTTTATATGTAATATGATATACGTGTATATATTCAATGAAACAAATTTATTAAAGTTAAACATCGAAACGTTCGAAACAAAGATTTTGCCCTTCTTCCTCATAATCTTCTCTAGTTACTAAGAGACTTGAAAATATCGAATCTTTCGATAATGTTTTACCACCATGCCATGCGTACGTGATTGGGCTGAAAATAAGATAATGAATTACATTATATCCAAATGTTCAGTTTTATCAATTATAACTCTAAATTTTTGTTTACTTTTCGGGTAAATGCACATTTATCGTATATTCTGCAGGCGCTAGACTCCTAACTTCTTTATAAATTCTTTCTCGAAAACCAGGAAATTTTGCATTACCCCCAGTAAGAATTATATTAGATAAAAGATGTGGCCATGTCTCTTCATCGCATGCTTTCAAACAATCCATTATTGCTTCTGGTATACCCATTTGTCGAATGCCAACATCCGAGGGAAAAAATAAGATTTCCGGTATAGCAAATCTTTCGTTACTTAAACGTAGAGTTTGTTGTTCATTAGGAGGTTCTGGATTTTTGAGGAAACCTCGTCTTAACGTTGTATAGTCTGGTAAAACATAATCTTTTACTATACAATTGTTTTCTAATTTATTTTTAGCTGTTTCCATATCTTTGAAAAATTCTTGAGAAACAAAACAGGAATCTTCTTTCACTTGATTTATTACATAAGTTTCATCCATAACATGAAGTTGACGATAGGATATAATTTCTTTAAGATGATTCGTAAGAAGTTTCCCACCTACATCAATACGTCTGATACCTTCTTTAATTTTGGTATCGTTTACATATGGAACTATATGAGTAAAACTATAACCGCTATCAACTACAATACAACATTTTGCATTAGGATTTTCTATCTTATACTGATAACAAGAGAGCGTAGGAGCATTGATTCTTAAAAGACTTTGACATTCATATTCTTCAAAAAATATTTCTGTCATGGCTTCTTGAATGCTTGAAAAATTAAATAAAGGTTCAGTTACAATCATAGAAAGTTGACTCAAGTTCACCAAACAGCATTCTTTGGAAAATATATAATCCCATACAGTTTTCTGAACATCCCAATTGACGAGATATCCTTTTTGAAACGGTAAGATGTAAAAAAGCCCAGATGCATCTCGACATTCTTCAATTTGATTTCCTACGAAAGGTCTTCGCCGTTCGCTTTTCGCTTTCATTATGCAATTTGGAACTAATCTAAAAATTAATCTTTTAACAGTTATGCTTTCCTTTTTTAAATTAATTTTATCATTGTAACTTACTTAGCATTGTCAGAAGCTAACCCAACTTTAGCGGTGTAGGCACCATTGTCAAGAACAAAAGTAGAATTACTCATATTAGCAAAGAGATTAGATAATAAATAAAAATTTGATCACTTCTCATTTTATCGTTCGTTATAAAAATATTAATATTATTGCGAACTACATAATAAATCAACTTTCATTGGCTGATGTCATACGCTTTACTCGGATAGTTTGATGTAATACTATATTTTGTCAGCATTGATAAATTTCATATAGTGCATGTATACATGTAAGTTAAGGGAGGCAATGTAACCTAGGATCACATAACTAATGTTTTACATTTAAGACATAGTAAACTTAATGGTTTTGAAATTTGTAGAAAACGCAGTAAATATTTTAATAATGTATAATTAATAAAATTTAAAAGCACAAGTTTAGAGATAGAAATTAAATAATATTAGAGATTGTTTAATTGTCAAGTTGACAAAGCAGAGCGAGTCCTCTTTTAATCCAATGATTGACTGGGTTATTGGTATCCAAGAGGATCGATAGCACGTAATTAGTCGAATGTCCAGTTGTCTTAAGAATACCGTAACGTGCAGAAGTTATATAAACAGGACATTCGTATCGTTTTCCTATTAGAATGGTATCTACTACGCATGGTTTCATCCATATTATTGGCATAGGTTCCCAAAGGATTTTTGGATAACTTTCAGCGAGTAACATGCTTCGCATATCCCATCTCGCGCCAGCCAGAAACATTCCGTGAACGTAAACACCATCAATTGGAGATTGATGTAATTCATATGCAGGAAGCACCTAGCGGATGGTGATTATATTTAACGTTTTTTCTTTTGTGATAAAAAATGTAATTATATCCTAGCTATGTTTAAAATAAAAACCTCAAAATCAAAACTGATTCTATCGATAGGTATCCTATATTTCCTTGCAAAATTTTGCGTTGTCGCCGTAAGGAAAGCATGTATAAATGAGAATCCAGCTATCCAGAATGTTTTCGGTCTATTTTTTGTTAACCATTCTCGGAAAAAGTTTAACCGATCAAGTAAATCGTTAATAAAATTTGGTAATGGTTTCAAACTTGGATAAGCGCATGCTTTCACCCAAGATGGTGGAATTTTTGCGCTTAATATATGAGTAGCTAGAATCTAGAAATACATGGAATTTTCTATATACCGCTAAATATATATATTTTATCAATATAACATGTTATTAAGTTTCGTAATACCTCTAAAGCAGGGGTCAACACTATCAATCCTTTTATTGCTTTTTCCAGCATATTAAGAGATTCTCGAATCTCATACAAAAGGATGTTGTACCTTTGTAATTCTTGTATTAAAACAGTATTCATGGATTCCATGTAAACAATAGGATAATATTGCTGCGCCTCCTCAATATCAAACAATTCAGGTAATCTATCATAAATATCGTTTTTCATGTTCAACAGCATTTCGTCTTGTTTAGTAGTGTCACCTACTGTAACCGTTCCTTGAATTAACATCATAGATTGAAAGAAATTATTTGCCAGCTCAAGATCTCGCGTAATTCCTGCATTCATATGCAATCCAACTACCTCTGGTGACGGATTTAAGGGAATTCCTTGAATTTGTTTAATGTAATCTTCATATTCGTGTCTACACACGTATGCACATAATACAACACAATAAAAGTGAATAATATTTTTCTACGAAGATAAAAGTGAGCTAAAGATATAGAAATACCTTTTTGGTAATGTGTATTCGGGACCGACATCTGCAAAGCTATAAGTCGGATCTGTGATTACATTCTGATTATAAAAATCTTGTAATATCGTATTCAAGCATCTTCGATCTCTGTCATCTGTGACTCGGCCACCGTAATTACATTCACCCGTTAGATATACGATAGCCTTGAAAGGGACATATTCGTAATCATTTATGTATAACTGAAGTTGTTGAGCGGATATTTGGAGGTCCGATTCATTGAAACCTATATTTACACATTTACCAATGTATATTTATAGAATATATTTGTACATGTATAGCGTACACATTTTTTATCCATTTTTCATTTCTTGTAGTATTGTACACAGAAGAAAGAACAGAAAGAAAATAAAGAAAAGTAAGAAGTTATTTGACAGACCGTATTTTATGTTCCAACCCTGAGCGCCATAATTTCGTCTTTCCTGTACCACAGCATGAAAAAAGCATAAAGCATAAAGCAACTTCGAATATGTTCTTCTTTTAGCAGGTTCATTATCAAAAAAATCCATACTTCTGGTTGCTTCAGATTTGTAGGATCTAACGGGCGAATATACTTTTGTTCATTTTTAAGAAAGGAATTTTTTTTCAATCTTTCATATTACGAATGTTCGGTGTTTAGGCAAATGGCAAACTCACCTCATAATATTGTTTTGTAATCCGGACGGAGGTTCGTTAGTCATTTTAACACCATTTTGCAGGATTGTAATCGGAAAATGTTCGGCAGGGTAACTAGTAAGCCACAAACGAAAGTTAGCATGCGTATTCGAAGGATCAAAATGTTCGCAAATATCCTCTAACATAGGCATCCACGAAGCGGCTAAGTGACAATTTTGTAGGCACACCCACTCGCCGTTGCTTTGTGCTTGTTCGATCAATTTTTGAGCAATGGGTCCTTGGCCTTGGCCGAGGGAAATCGAATGAAATCTTTCGAGGAAATTCATACTTTCCGCGAACAAAGACAGTGCTTCCATTGGATCAGAACCTGGAGATAAAATGAAGATCAACGGTATCAGAGAACTTGATTCGGAGAATGATTTAGAAATGTCAAAGGGTGGCGGTAACACAAATTTCAAACCCATTCCAACTTCGACGAATCGTTGTATCTGAAACGTAAGTACTTTAGTACTTTCATGTCAAGATGAGCATAGGAGAAAGAATGAGAACAAAACTGAATGAAATCTGTCGAATTTACCATGATCATCACTTTGTCAGCTCTGATCATTCTCGTAACGATCAATTTCTGAAAAGGTGTTAAACTCTTCTGCCATGGGTCTGGTATCGGTGAATTTTCCGGATTCAATAAATCATAATATTCTTTCCATGGATTTAAATTACTCACGAAACTTGATTGAAAATTGACAAAGGCAGGTAATACGTGAATTCTGCAAATTTCACCCCATGATTTATCTGGAAGCCATTTGGATGCTGGGTTGCTTGATATCGCTGCCAATGCGATGCCGCCGGACAGAAAGAACGTCATTTCTTCTTTTGTGATTGCGTTTTCCGATATCAAGATCGTCGTATATAAGATAAACGAATACAATATCTGATCAAATAAAACAATTAAATATCATCCAAAATACCAGTATCGAAAATTGTAGCATAATTATTCAAATAAAAATTTACTTTGTCCTTCTCAAATAAAGATCTACAGACATTTTGGTATAAGTTATAAGTAAAAGTTTCTCGTAGAAACGCGAGTCTTCTTTCGAGAATTTTACTCTTGTTTGCGGTGTCAATGGAACTAATATACAAGCTGATAAACCACACCAAAGAATATTGATACATAGGATCGATATTAGGTAGATCAGTGATCGTATAGTAGAGAGCGGAACTATGTCGGGCGATAGGTTTGTAATTTTGTCGAAATCCTTCGATTTGTAACTCCGTTTTCTTCGCGGCAGCTTGTTTCTTTAATATATCGATGGAAAGAATCTTGGATGAATCTAATATCTCTATGGCTTCTTCGTCTTCCAAAATACTAGCTCCAGATGCCGATAAAGTTTTCAAAATATTATCTTCTACTTGCTGTAAAGCTTGCCTGTTTGCGGCACTTTGGACGATCAAATATTCTCGCTTCTCCTGTAAATCGGGCCTCTCTTTTGCAACTACTATACCTAATAATTGATCTTCTAAAGCACCAATCGTTAATGCGAAATTGATCACAGTTACTTTATTGAAAGTCTCGGGTAGATAATGCGGGTTACGTAATTTGGTAGTAATATACAATTTGAACCGCAAACTGTATTCGATCGTTTTCTCGCCAAGTGTGATATACCACAAGACGCCCATTTTATATATTGCCTTTGATAATATCGGATCAAGAGGTGGTGTCAGTTCTTCAAGAACGTTTTCGATAAGTACCGGTTTTCCTATAAGAAATATACATATCAAAGTCTATCGAGATTGTTTGAAAATTAGTCGAGAATATTTTCCAAAGTGGGCCGTACAAAAGTTTATAAATCATGAGGATAATACATTACCATATTCTATAGCTTGTTCTATGATGTTCATGTAAGATGTATCTGTTAATTTTACGATTTCGAGTTCGTTTTGTTTCTCCATGTTGCGAATCCATTTATTTGCTTGACTTTGAGGGTCGATAAACAAACTCCATCTCTTCGAGTTGTCCATGATTATGGCATTTTCAGTGGAAAACGAGTCCCGAGGTAACCCAAATATATTCCACGAGTTAATCTTTATCTCGGTTCCGAGTATCTCAATAAAGTCGAAATTTTCCGTACACGGGATTTTTAAGTTCTTAACGTAGACTATCCATTTTCCTAAGCTTTCGATACGATAATTAGACGTAAACGGACCTAGATACGCTATCATACCGCAGGAAATTAAAATATCACCCGGCAGAGTGTCATAAGAACTTTGCAAGTTCGCTGCTGCGGTCATCCAACGATCTTTCTCTCCACCCAGACCACTAATTAATTTTTCAGCTCGAATTAACTTGTTTCTGCAATTTGTCACCTATGAATTTTTAACTAGCATCAGGTATGGTACGCAATTCGTATAACCGTTCATTCAAGTGCTTATGTTTTCGTTACCTCGTTTTCCAACTGAATTTTCTTAGCGAGGGTTACTTGTAAATTTTCGTTGAGTGTCCTCAACTTTTCGGTCAACGCAGTCAGCATTTCACGTCTTTCGTTCAAAAACTTAATGGTATTTTCATAGTCTCGTTGCGCAGCTTCTAGTTTCGCTTTTTTCGGTGCAACTATTTTCACAACCGCGTCGTATAAAACCATCGCTCTCACCCATTTACAAAGGCCTTCCGCTGCTGATGATGCTCTAGCTACAATCTTTGGCTCGAAGTTCTTATCCGTCATGTAGGTTATTTTAATTTCCTATATTTATCGAGTAATTTTTATATTCAAAATGTGTATCAAATTGATACGATGTTATTATAAAGTACAAAATATAATCATTGACGATGCCTGCATAATATTCGGAGGAATGTTGTCTTTATCGTATTGCCGTAAGGTTTCCAAAAATCTCATATCGCCTAATAAACGTTTACTTGGGGTCCAATAATCGTTTACTTTTTTACCGGTAACTGGATCTTCGACTTTAGCAGGGGGTATACCTAACATTACGCATACTGCGGCCATCACGAGCTTTACTCCAGCTGGAGGACTCCTCATTGTTCTTACAACTGCTATGTCAGCTGGCTTTAAAGTATTTAGAGCGGCTATGATTGTAAAGGAATAACGAATTAGCAAACGTTTAAATGAAACTTATAGAAAGCGTAAAAGTAAATATACCTAAAGCATCTTCCAGGGCTGGCAAAGCCTCTGCTAAATCCGCCTCGCATTCCACTTTCAGATTCATTGCAACTTTGGCTTGTACGTTAGCCATGTTCTCGTCTTTCTTTACCATAATTCTTGCTTTCTCAACGCTGATATTCTCGGTTTCGATTTTCTTCATCGTCTCCGATGTCTCCTTGGCAGACGCCTCAAGTTGAGGCCGTAATTCCGAAAGTGTTACTCTCATTTGACTAATTAGTTGGGCCGCGTATTCTAGTTTATCTAATCCGCTGACATACCGATCTCTGTGGTGCAAGAAGACTATAATTGTTTTTCCCATTATATTTGTTACCCTGGTTACATACCTCGCGAAAGTAAGTTCTTCCTGTTTTTCCCTCATCAGTTCCGCGTAAGTTCGTATAAGATCTAAAAAGCCGGCTGTTGTGATGTAAGTTTGTCTACCCGTGACATTGTAAAATTCAGTGCTAATATCTTTGGCACAAATGTGAAAAAATTTACACGCAACCACCGCGTTGATTTTCACCTGCTCGTCGATATCTATATCGGTAGTGCTGCGTAGAGCTACCTGTTCAAGAGCATCCTCTGGCCATACTTCGAACCAATCGATTGTACAACAATTCACGAGACTCGGATAAAGTCGAAGTCTGATTCTGAAGGTGTCCCCGATGGGGCTGAAGCATAGCATTATGTGTAACTTCTCTTTGCAACGATTCACGAAATAAGCGAGTATGGACAAAACCGATATGTCTAAATTTCGATTACCGCCCTGAGCGGCTAGTCGGGTCATCTCGATGATTTCTTGTCTTTCCTCGATGGTGAACAGATTCGGCACCTCGCCTGAATTCAACAAACTGTCGATGTCGTTCAGGAAAATTTCGCTTTTAATTTGTCCTTCGGTGAGCAAGAATACAAAATCTTTGCCTAAACCGCCGGAATTCATGAGCACCTAAACATTCCAAATATCATTTGTATTTACTCGTAAGTATTATCGCGATCGATCTTTTTTGCTTATGAAACGAACCTTCTTTATATCATCCTGCCATTCTTGTATACCATATGCGCTGCCTATCTCTGGTTGAAAGAGACCATGACCGGCCATATTGGATGCTAATCTTGTTAACGATTGCCTACCGGATCCACCTACACCTACCATCAGTAAGCTGCCACAAGGAATAGCCAATATGCGACAAATTTTTGCAAGATGTTCCAGAGCATAACGGAATAGTACAATATCCATTTTGTATCTATGAGTTAGATTGTACTCTTCGAGGCAGGAAGTCGCTACTTCTAAATATTCTTCCATAGATTTTACTTCTTCGTATCGACGATCGGCTGGAATCGTATCTATGTCCATAAAAGTACCAAATATGAGACTTCGTAAGCTATCCTTTGTTAACTGATCGTCAAACTTTGGCAGATAATCAAACACCGTTTCAAACGATTCCTTGAGATTGCTTCCAACCACTTCCTTAATCTTTATAAACAACCAATGTCGGTCGTTTTCATCGATTAGACGATCACCGAAGACTCTTAATGTTTCGTGAACCCATAGTTTCGTGAAATCTGACTTCGATTCCACGGATTCTTCTTTGATCATCGTGCAACCGGTTACCACGCGAGAAAAGTCACGCAAATTAAAAAGATAATGGGATTTCATTGGTGTCGGTCTCAGCTCTTTTTGGGCATTCTGAAAGATATTCATAGTTGCGTTCACAATTTCGATGATAGTTGGCATAGCTGCAGTAGTGAAACCATTCCGTTGCAAACCTATGAATGCGATGTTTGTAAAAATTCTGATGATAGTGTCCTCGGAAAAGTTACTGATACTGAACAGATTAAAATGTCTCAGGAATCTTTGGTACAATTCCTGCCTACTACCGCCCGGTGGAGCCATAGCGCAAACAAACATTGTATCGTATATATAAATCTTTTCTGGTTTTTTCAGATCGAACCAAATTTTGTGATCGAAGAACTGTCGAAGCAGCTCGATCGGTGGTTGGGAACCGTACGTTTCTTTTGCAGGCATGTTAACATCATCGATAAATACGATGCAATGTGTGCCTGGTAAAGGACCAAATTGATTTCTGCGTTTTTTATATAATTTTAGTACAATTAACTCTTGTGTCTGTGCAGCCGTGATGTTCGGAGTAAACGTAATAAAATTTGGTAAATATTCCTCTTCCTTTAACTTGTTCATGATCAAGTCCTTGATATAGAAACTTTTTCCGGTACCCGTTTCTCCGTACAATAGAAATCGTTTGCGATGCTCGATGTGTTTCAAAAATAGACTTTGATATTTCACTGTATCAACGGTAGGAATCATCATTTGAACGATGCTTCCGGTATCCGAATACTCTTCTTGTCTTGCCACGTCAGAGAATCGTCTCCACGCACCTCTTCCTCTGTATGTGTAAAAGCAATCGTGAATTAAGTCGTCCGTTGGAAGAGAGATCAGGGCTTCGCTAAGAAATTCAGGAAGCGGATGTTCCGTTTGCTCGTTCTTCCAAAAACTTAAGTAAAACGCGTTGAATTTTACGCGGGATACGTAATCTAGCGTACCGGCAGCTCCCCAAACTACCGATACCAACATAGTTGCCTGCAGCCAAGGTATAATGAATTGATCATACGTTTTTGGATTCTGTTCCACCGCGTCTTCCATAAACATTTCGAAAATATTCATCGTTGACACAACCTGATGTATTTGGCCAGCATTGATGGTTGTGCGACAGGTTTTTCGAATAAATTCCAAACATGGATCGATCAACCAATAGAACAGTTCCTTCATATTTTCCTCGTAACTTTCTTTCCACATAGGATTCAATTTGTTCATCCAAGATTGGACGAATGGTTTCCAACCCAGAACACGTGGTTCCACATATATCATTCCACATCGAGATACTGTGGCAGGTGATGCGTGAGCAAGATCCATTACTTCAAAAATCATTGACATAACGTTGGACATTTGAATTACTTCGCCGGATGTTAAGCAGAGTTTTTTATTGTCGTCGAGGACAGTATTGAGGTTTTCGATCCACAAGGCATCCACTGGTCCGTCGAAAATGATCCATTTCCTGTCGGCCGATTCTTCCATAGAATACATACGAAACGCAACTGCGCACACACCGTCGGTCCATTCGGAAGAAACCGGATCGAAATATCCGTATAGTTGTTCTAACGTTATAGACTTTGGATTAATCGTATAATACTTTGTTATCGCTCCATCCCCATCACCTCGATTGTGCATTATGGTTAGAGCATCGGCCAAGGTGTGGAGAACCGAAGTTTTTCCACCGAATGGTTCACCTACCAACATAAATCCGTGACGAACTATCATCATTTCGAATGTTTGTATGATCTTTAAAAGGAAACCATCTACTGGTTGCAAATTATGCTTATCGGTAACCTCGTGAATTGCTTTCAGAATAACATCGTAACTTGGGGATGGAAGTTCCAAACCAGGGAACAGATCAGAGACGATACCTTGAAAAAGTGGAACATCGTGTGCTAAAAACTTTGGTAAATTCACATCAATCACAGACCTAAGTAACAGCACAGACTCATCTTCATCTGGAAATTGTAATTTAATATTTTGTGCTGCTGTTAAAACAGCTTTTACAGCTCGCATTCCATAGTCGTAATGAGATTGCGTGGATAATTGTTCGGAGCATAGCTTGTATGTAGTTACAATTTTCGTAGACAGCTCTCGAGCGCTACTGAATCCAGAAGAATAAAGAAATATTTCAGCGATCATAGCGTAATCTGGTACCATCATTGCTACCGTTCTAAAAAGAACTTTTAAATTGTCTGGTAGCTCTGTACGACCTGCGTAACCTGGGTTCATTGTGATGCAAACGTAAACGGCAGGATTTAATTTTAATTCGGTTCCTTCGAAAATAAAAGTTTCCAACTTGGCACGTACGGCTTGAGTGATACAAAGCATTTGTTGTGCAACTACGGACAATACTTCCAGTTCGATCCTGTTGAATTCGTCAAAGCAAGACCATGCACCGCACGCAGCAAGACCTTTAAAGAACTTTCCCATGTTTTTGTAGTCAAGACCTTCGGAACAATTGAAAACTACACATTGTACGGCTAAAGCTCTGCTCAAATCTTTCGTTGTTTCCGTTTTGCCAGTACCGGCTGGACCTTCCGGAGCTCCGTTCAAGTGTAAAGAATATGCGCCGATTAAGGTACGATAACATCTATATGCAAAGTATCATTACATTCTTTCTTTCATAATTTCCATCTTCCTGTCGATGTCTTCCTTCTTACCTGTCTGTCAAAGGAGTGATAACAAGACGAGGACAGTTTCCAATATATTCGTATGCATAAGCTACGGTGGTATATATAATCCTAACAAACACATCGTCTTCCCAATAATAGCGCAATTGTGCCAACCATTCAAAATCGGTTTCGCTTATGATTTTCTTATTAATTAACAGCTCAACTACGTCCATAGCATGTACATCCAAAGTAATAAGAGCATTTAACGTAGTTCGATTTTGTTTTGTCAATTGTCCTGCAGATATAGTATTTGTTTAATAGTAGCAAATGCTTTTGAATATTATGCCGTGTACCTCTAACCAATTGAACCATCTCTAAAATTTGAGATTTGAGTTTTACATGAAGTGCTTCCATCGTAGAAGGGATATGGGTCATAAGACTGTTCTGAACGTCCATGCTCCAATAAATTTGAGAAACACATAAAACTACCATGCCAGGCCATATACGTACCCATACAACCCGTCTATTAATTTCATAATCGAGATAGCTCATAAGGATTTCATGCCTTACAGACTTCAGCATTTGTTCTTCGACCTATAATTTCACGATATTGTACGATGTTACATTTATAAATAAATACCCTATGATCGCATACTTGAATGAGCCATCGTTCTACGCAGCCTCTCGCTGCAGCAGTTGAAATCTTTTCCTGCAATCTAACTTCTTCGTTATCTTCACTAAACATCGAAGATATTTCCAATTCTTCGTTAAAACTATAGAATTATGTTTTACTACGGAATCAAAGCTTGTCTCGTATAGCATTCTTAATCGTTGTACCCTCTACATATAGTTTACCGTAATTTATTTATTCCCTCAAAACATTTTCTAAGATGTGGCTGAACTCGAAGAGGATCCTTTGTTTCGGATAATATCTCTAACATGTCGTCATTACTCAAGAAGAAAAATCGTGGGAAGAAAAGTCTCTTCTTCTCGAGGTAATTTAATACACCGTCGTTTACCTTTTCCATTAATACATTTGCTTCCCGCATGATTTCTAGCAGACCAATCTGTGAATAAACGTTACTTTGGTGTTTCATCTCATCTAATGACACTAGTACTTACAGAACCAGCGGTTTCCCGTACACGAGGATCCTTTGCAACACCATTCATTGCACTGCGAAATATTCTGTCAACTTGAAAGAATAGCACTTCTTCATCGGGTAATTGTGCTACGATGTCTTTGCTCGAAAAGATGGGTAACAAATACATCCACTGTACTTGAACCTAATATAGAAACATAAAACATATGTATAAACGTAACATAGAAAGACGATAAAGCTTCTACAGTACTTTGGTCCATTCTTCGATTGTTGACTGTATTCGAAATAGAAGAAAGTAAAATTCTTTAACCTCTTCTTCGATAAGCTTGACAAACGCGGAACCCCGCATTGCTTGAACTTTTATAATATGCTCCTCTAAGAGACTTTGAATATCGTCTAAATGGGTCAAGATGTTTACTCCTGAATCTTTATAGAGTACAGTGGTAAAAAATATGTTGTCCCATTCACTGATCATTTTTGTTAATGACTCTTCAAGAGCAAGTTGTTTCCTTGCACTTACGCTTATCGTTTCATATCTTAATACAATATTAATTATCATTTGATGTAATCATTCGATTATGAAATAGAGAAGCTAGAGAGGAAAGGGACCCGTGTTATAACAAAAAGAGAAATACAAAGGTATTACTTGTCCAATTCGGCCATTAAATTCATATTTATAATTTTCCGAAATGTTGTTCCAGCATCGGGAGTAAGATCGAAACCAGCTATAACAGACATTTCATCCCAATGTACTTGTCGCATCGCGGGATTTCGAAAAATCGTCAGCAACGGTATATATTGCTGCGTTAAAAATAACAATAGTAAGCAATAGTAAGAAATAGTAAGAAATTGCTTTTGCGAATAGGTGTTTTTAAAATTACCTTGAACCACTTGGTATCCTCAATAAGCTGATGACAAAGTTTCAAAGGTGTGGGTTGTTGAAAAAGATCTGGATCGTCTGGTGATCCTATAAAACTGACGTAAAACATTGACGTTTTAATACTTGATAAATTTAACATTATAACATAGGTCTATTACCTATGAGGATAATTCATCGCATTCTCCATCTTTATTCTTGTCCTGTATTGCTTGCACGTTTTATTGAAGTTTGCAAAATAATCGGTTGTCTTGTTCTCAATATCATTCGAATCTAAGTATTCAAATGGACCATCTAACCAAACGTCCCGATACCTTTGCCACTGATAACCTCGATAAATTAATTCGTAATATGGCATTATGTTCTCTTTCAATTCATTGATGCGTGGGTATTGAGAGAGCGGATATTTGAAAAGTTTCTCCTCGTCGTTGATCCAAGTTACTCTCTCATCCATACGATCCAAGTCACGTGCAAATTTTCGCATATATTCTATGTATTCTCGTATGCGATTTGCATCATCCATGTCGTTCATAATTTTCAATCTGATAATAACAAGATGACAATGCATAGTGTTCATTACAATTCAAGATTATGTTAATTCACCTATCGTAATGCTTCACCTAGGAAACATGTTTTCGACATCCGTGTTTAGATTTTCGATTTTTCTTTGAAGTTTCTCTTCTAATTCAAATTTAATTTGCTCATACACGGCGCTATTCTGTTCAAATATTGGCCTTATTCGCTTCAACCAATGGATTGTGATATTATTCAATTCTATGTGATCTTTGGTTAATGTTGTCATTCCGATTAATGACGCCATCATTCGTAATGATAAAGTAATTTTTTCCTCTAATGATCTCATTAACGTTGACGCAGCCATTAACATATATTCACCTGAAATGAAATAATTGTATTTGACTTCTCATATAATACCATCGATATAATTCGCTATTAAAAGAATTACCTAATTCGAGTAATTCTTTCGTGGTATTAGGGACATTTATAGCGCGTTCTTTTATCGCTTCGAATGCATCACAAATTTTAAGGTTATAATTACGATGAGTTTTTACTAACTGTTCGATAATCAATTTGCGCACTTCTTCTGTGTAATAAAGAAGTCCCGTCTTTGCTGCAACTTGATGAATTACACCAATTGAAAAATATTCGTGATCCGGCTGGATTAAAACTCCTGTTAATTACTCTTTTGCGAAAAGAATAAATATCGAAGAGTATGTGTTATAATTTACCATGCCATTTATTTCTCGGATAAATTGATTGAAATCTTCAACCTTAAACACAGATTCTTGAAAAGAGTGTCCCGTAGTAACATAGGTAGCGATATTTCTATATGTCTCTGGATCGAAAACAACTTTAAACTTATTATACAGTTTTTCGACGTAGTTATTGAAAGGTTGAAAAGTGTTCTGCAGGATTTCAGCAAGACGTCGATGCGTTTCCTCTAAATACCATTCTGGCAATATAACTTTAATATATTCTCGTTGAATCTTTACACCAACCCAAGAATCTAATGGTGGTAATTGTTGACCGACACGACTAATCTGATCAACTATATTATGAAACGCGTTATAAATTTCACGCATCGTTGGACTAAAAAATATCTCGTTCTTCTCACATTTTAAATGTAGCTATAGAACAAAAATATCATTGAGTATGCGTTTTATTCGATCATTTGAGTAATGAATTTAAATCGCACTTCTTGAAGTTATCACCAATTGTTGTCTTTAAGCGATCTATCGATCGATTAATTAATTGACAAAAATTCGAAATATTCAATTTTATATTTTTTAGCATAATTCTAGTACCTTAAATAAAGGCACAGTTTCCTCGTCTTTTAGAATCTGAAGTAAATACTCAATGGTGTTTATCATGCGCGTGATCACTTGAAGTGCAAGTAAATTATTAGCACAGTTAAGAAAGTCTGATAAGGATGGCGGGGGTATATCATAAAGGTAACGTGGTTGAGAGATCAGTCGCACGATGTCACTGTAGTAGGTGCTACTGATCGTTAGCGCGCCTTTTTTCATATCACTTTCCACCAAATCTAGAAACCTATAAAACATTCGTGGTAAAAGAACGTCAATATTGATCGGTTAACTCCGCGTGTGTGTTTTTTCTTCAACTCGCACTAATGTATGTGGAACGATAGAAACAATTCAATTAGAACGAAATTCTTGTAACGAAGCAAAAGTTTGGAATGGCTGAGACCGATACGTGTACACGACAGTATTGTTCGGGACGGTGTTCGTGTTTTAGAACGCGCGGTAATTTTTCGAATAAGTTCCAGCTGTGGGTAAAAGAAAAAAAAAAAATCACCTGTTGAAATCAAGATAATCCAATTCCAATCGGTAACGTTTAAAATCGCAAATCCACTCTGGGATTAAAAAGTGGGCTCTTGCCACTATGTTTTTCATCAATTTGTGAGGTAAGTAATGCTTTCTTCTAATTATGCATCGATTTTTCAAATACTTTGGATACAAATGTGTTCGTCCAGCAAACTTGTATGAAAGAATTTGTTCTAAACCCATATTACATGTATCTTGACACTCTATGGCTATCACTCTCTTTACGGCTAAATCGTGCATCACCTCGTAATAACGAGTTTTTGTTTCGAACAATTGATCCTCGAAACTGTTCGCGTACTTGCATCGCAAGGTAGGAGATATTAAATTTCGTATATTCTCTTCCCATTCCTAGGCGATGTTTAACATTGGATTGTATAATAACACTTCGCATTTATTTGTAAGCGATATAATGCATTTTAAAATCACGTACAGATAACAGATTATTCGCGGGCAATTTACCAGCAAATTCTTTCATCTTTGTGAAGTAAAATCTTTGGGGGCGCTCCAGTTGACATTCCTTAATAGGTTCACAACCACTTGCTTGTTCTTCATGACGAACCTTTGACTTCGTGATCACTAATTTTAATACACTTTGCGCATCTTCGATATTATTAACCTTTCAAATACAAATCGAATCCTTTCTTTTCGATTACGTTCGAAAAAATAACGATTTACTACAGACAAACAAATTAATATTACCTTTCGAAGCTCAAGTGCATTCTTGGCGAAATGATCGATCATTGAGCGATAATCGAAATTCAATGCCGTAGTCACTTCACACACTACGCTTTCGTCCTCCTTCGCGTCCGACATAGCGAATTATTTTCCTTCCCTTTGATTGTTGTTTAACTTTTTTCCTGTTTGCTCGTCCACGTGGGCAGGTTATCGAATCGTTGAATTGAAAATCGTCGTTAGTCACAGTCATTTATCTTTTTAATTTTATCGGTAGTCATCTATCAAGAACTGTAAATTATCTAGCGAATCAAATTATTACGTTCAAATAATTCTTGCAAAAAGTTCACCTTCTTTATTCCATATGTACACATATGTGACACGAGTTCGTTCTCATCTTACAATTAGTACGGTTTAACAAACGATTATAACGATTTCAAATAAATGCATGTGATCATTGGCAATGAAACGATTATATTTAAATATATGGAAAAGAAAAAGGAAACAGATGATTGAAGAAACAATCAAAGACGCGCTTATACCGGGTGCCTTGTGAATATGAAATTAGACGATCAAACTATGCAAAGAGAAAATAATAAATACATGACCAAAGCTAGGTATTTTTTAAGATGTAAATAAATAAAAGGGAATTCTCGAATGCGTTCTTGTTTAATGCTCAGTTCATAGATTCGTAATAGAGAGACATGTGAATGATTTGACTGATTTTTATTTGTGTGGCGCGTATTGGCACAGTTTGATCGTCCAGTTCCGAGGCACTTATTTTTCTATCGCGTAAAGGGAACGTCGAATCTTCGGTAGAAACAAATGGATTATACAAACAAGATCGAACTATAAAACTTTACAACTTATATGACAATTATGATTCTTAATTCTTATAAATCACACGTTTATCGGTTCACCGGTGAATATCGAATGGTGATTGTTTTTCGTAATCGTATATTAGTTGACTAGAACTTCGAATATCACGGCTTTAGAATTCTATTCAACGTTCTTGTCGAATTTCATAATAAAATGATAGGATAAAATCCTGAGACAAATCTGATGTTTAGTATCTTCACACACACACACGCACACACGCACACACGCACGCACGCATATATATACCAAACAAACATACATACATACATACATACATATGTATGTATGTATGTATGTATGTATGTATGTATTTGTTTGGTTATATGTATGTATATGAGTGTATGTGTGTATATATGTGTAACATTGTGGAAGTAACATTTGACTTGTAACTTTCTCTGCCGTGTATAAAGTTGATTTCAATCATGACTCGAGAAACATCGAAGATACTTTTATGCTGCACCACAGTCGTGCTTAACTAAACCAATAATTATAACAGGTCTTCTGTTCTTTGAAAATCGCAGAGAAGGATTATAACGATGAAACATCTCTGAGAGAATTACACGCGTTTACAAAAGTTTCGCATCATTTTTCTTCGTTTTGTTATTCTAACGTTCCTCGCATAAGTTCGCTACTTCTTATCCTATAACCAAATTGTACAATCGTTTCGTTCTTTAGCGCACAAAGTTATCTACAAAGATACGCTTTTGAGTTATCTTCTCATACATCTCATATAGTCGACAAGATTCGCTAATAATCACATTCTCGTCGTTCGTACCTTATAATGCTATAAATTACTGCTTAGACAAGTATATCAATAAAGCAATGCTATGTACAAGATGTTTCGAGCATATCATCGAGTAACGCTTATGGTACAAAAGGATTAACAATAATGGTGGATTTAGCTATTATATTCCTATAGTCATAGAATATATACAAGATGGTGAAAATACAAGTACTTAAAAACGTGCTTCTTATACCAATTCTACCACAAGCAAAAATGTTACCGCGTTTGTTCTTTCCATGGTACTGATTAATTAAACAGTGATACGGGAGTAACATAACTTATGATAAAACATATTCCGGATATACATTATATATATATACATTACATACATACGCGCGCGCGTGTGTGTGTGTGTGTGTGTTTTCGACTAAGGAAGATACAAAATAATTTCACGTTATTGCCATATGTGTATATAATCGCGGGAAATATTTCATCTTTTACTAAGTTTCATAGCATTTATCATTAAACGTGTATAGTAAATTCATATATGAATATAAATGATAATGCTAATTCTAACTATATCGCATGATGTACAGATGATGTTTCAGTAACAATATTTGTATAAAATATTTCAAACAGCGAACAAAGTGAAGCCATAAAAATAGAAGAATATACATTTTCTAATGCATCGCCTATATGTTGCACTTATGTCGCAATTTCTCATCAACGTTACAACATTCAACGAGTTTTCGTTCCGTGAAAGTTTGTAAAGCATCCCTTCGATATATACATATCGGATAAAAAAAGAACTTTTAAAAATAGTTACTTTTTAACTGCTTTGAGAATGATAATTATTTATATAGACAAATGTTAATATACATCGAGTCGGTAACTCCGGTTCGTTAATAGTGAAAACCGGCTTAAACAACGTAACAGAATTAAGACGAGCAATTATAATACTTATTACCCGCATTTTATAGAATAAAATTTATAAATAAATTTAACAAAATTAGATACAATGAAAGCAGCTAGAACAGTCCAATGCAAACAAAAACTCAAAAAAGGAAAAAAAAAAATAAAATAAAATAAAGAGAAAAATAAAGTGGACAGCGCAAACCTTTGTCTTAATAACTGCTCATTTAAATGTATCACCACAAAGTATATGCTTTTATATATTCTTTTAAGTTATCCTTTATGCAAAAAAAAAGGTCAAGTTATATGAATGTATCTAATTTGAAGGGGAGATCGAGATAAATTTTTACCCTTTTAAAATGATACAAAGAATTACTCTATAAAAATAATATTTCCCATTTAAAGATAAAATTGTTTCAATATCATAGTAAATGTCTTTATAAGAAAACGAAAGGAATCTCTTTGCTTTACGTTTTGGAGTATCCTTAGTTAAATTTTAATTATTGTTTGATCACAATGGTAAAAGATCAATTAAATTAGCACGGGGCTGTGTCGATGACTCGGGAAAAAATTCTGTCAATTTATCGTATAACTCAGTTCTCAAAGTATGGATATCGCGTGTGGTCGAACAACAGAACGACGAAGTATCCATGTTAACTAAATTTCCTAATACGGCGTCTGAACTATTTGAATTTGTGGCTTCTCCTAACAAGGAGTTTTGTTCTCTGAATAGAAGGGATGTTAACAATTGAAACTGTAACGAAGAAATGTATACATTTGAAAAGGCAACATTGGCAAGTAGTATTCAGTATTCATCCGTTACTGATTAAAAAAATGCTACTACCTCTTTCGTTTGTTCCACATCATTATGATCGATAATTTCCGATACTTTGGTCTGTAAATACTCAAGTGCTTCGACGCTATTGTTCAGTGCTAGCTCTTTGAATTTGTGCTTTCTAATAAGTAGTTTGCATCTTTTAAGAATTTGTTCGTGAGACGGTCTGCATAATTTTAATTGCCAGAAATCATCGAGTCGTAAGTTTGGAAGACAGGATCTACCAGAGTTTCCTCCAAATAAAAAGTGAACCTAATTACACATTATACAACGTTATTATTGAATGCTGCACAAATAAAAAAAATTTATTACAAATAGTATGCAGCAAACCTTTTTTACGTGATCATAAACCAATTGATGCGCATATCGTGGACATGGTTCATAATCTTGCATTTTACTCCAATATTTCTCTCCAACATTATGATTTCGATAAATGCAAAACCATTTATTATTTTTAATACTGTACACCCAAAAGGAATTTTGAACACTATCGTATCTTTTACCTTTGTCTTTACTTAAACCCTGAATGAACAGTAATTAAGAAAAATTGAAACAATAATGATAATAATAGTAATCATAGACATAATTAAAAGCAAAAATTCTAATACAAACCGATAAAACATATATCTCTCCCAGTTCAGGGTCGATTGTGGCTCTTTGCGTAAAACCAGCTACCGGAACGTGATTCGAATCTTTAGAACCAAAATCATTAAAGATGTGTTCAATATGATTTGTATCGACCTCATATGTGAAAAAATCGCAAAGATCCTCTTTACCTCTCTGACCAGCGAAAATGTATAACTTTCGTAATCCCTGTAAAATGATGTAATTTTTAAATTATATTAAATCTATGACATACAATTCTATGGCTTCTATGGCTACATACAGGATGAAACAACATAGCATGTCCAGCTCTGGATCGAATAATTGGTGCATTAGTAGGACATGGACGCGCAATGTCACAGGCAAGTCTATTCCAAGTACCAGTTGGTACATGATAAGAATACAGACCAGAGAAAATTTGCTCAGTTGAACTTGATACCATACCATGTTCTTCGGAACTGTAGATTAGATAAACGTGTTAATATTCCAATTAATACAGTTATTATGTTGTTCTACATACTTTGTTGGAGAAACAAGAACACGACCACCAAATATGTAAATTGTTCGTTTCTCAACGTCCATAGACATTTGATGATCAAAAATTAATTGAGGCCCTCCTACGGCCCCTGTATTTTCTGATATTTGTGTCCACTTATTTGATTCAATATCATATACAAAAAAATCACTCTTTAAATTTTCCGGCGTTCTGTATTCTGCGTCCAAGTATTTACCAAAAGTAAACAGTTGCCTGCGTTCTGGATCAAGGCACATCTTATGACAAGATCTTGCACTTGGACCACCCTATAATTTAACATTTAAATTTTCTACAAAATAATACATATTTTTCTTTGATAACTTACCACAGCTTCTGTATCTTTGCATATAATGGTCCACTTGTTAGAAGCAATATTATATACCCATAAATCTGAAAGATCTTGATTTCCATCCCACCCCCCAAAAAGATAAAGAACTTCTGCAGCTGAATCGAGCACCATTTGGTGACCTCCTCTCATTCCTGGCTTACCATCATTGAATGATAACTTAGTCCAAACTGCTCTATAAGTCTGAGCATTGATATAGTCATTTAAAAGACCCACTGTATTGTAAATCATATAATATTCTAAGATTATGTTAAAATATCATAAAAAAAAAAAGTGAAAACAGAAGAATAAATACTCACTCATTACAGCATTACTTATAAAGCATTCAGCCTGCAAATGATCACCCTTTGTTACTAGTAAGTCATATAATCCAGTCAATCGAGGATCTTCAAGTGGAACACCGGTAACTCTTTGCAATGTTTCAACAATTTCGGGTTGCTCGAGTTTTCTGAAGTGTTTCATACACAGTCTTATTACTTCTTTCTGACGATACTGAAATATTAAATTAATTGTTCTTTAGGGAAGATATTTTCTGATAAATACATATGTATATGTATGTATAATGTTTAAAACATATACATATTTTCATAAGAAACATTCATATTGTTTATATCAATGTATCATTACATATTTACCACATTCAGCCATTCGATACTAGGATTTACAATTTTAGCATCATTAGTGCCAGTTAATCGTATATGCCAAATAGAGAAATTAAAGCTAGGTCCCCAGGATTGTAATGGAACAATCTTTATGTATCTAACAGGAAAATAATTTTCTTCATTTCCTAATACATGTTTTAAATCAAAAGTTTCTGGTACTGAGTCATTTTTTAATCCACTAAAAAGTATAATTACTTATGAATATATAGATGTATATTACACTTCATATTGCAAACTTAAAACTTACTTTTCTAAAAGTTCCATCATATTTTCTGGCTCTAAACCACCATACACCTTGAACTTCTTTATGTTACATACATGTGTTTTCTCATATTTACCAAATGTAATTGTTTTTACAATTGAGGAAAATCGTAATTTTAATATAAGAAACTGAAAATTTAGAATACTTGTTGTACATATTTATTGTAGTATATTACTTTTAGTAATATAAAATATAAAATATTCTTTTAACTTAAATTTAAAAAAAAAAATGATTCATAATTTGAATACCTCTATAAATTTTGTAAGAATTTTATCAACTTGATGATAATACATTGTGTTATTTTTGAACAATGTTTACCTGTGGATAAGTGTCAATATCAGAAGACCACCGCGACGTCTGATCCGATGGTTTATCTACAAGGATATTTCTAAAAATAGAAAAAAAAATATTATTTTAATGCATAGCAAAAAGTCCGGCTTAATTATTCCAATTGTTTATTTCATAATTTCACATATAGCAGATTTTGTTATTCATCATAACCATTATTTTAGGTTAGAGAACCATTATCATGTAACAACTGTTTTCTACTTTGTAATTGAGAAGTGTATTGAAAAGAAAATTGTTCTGGTGTTAGTGAACCGCTTACTCTGGCACATAAGATGAAGAAAAACTGGAGCATTTATAAATTTTAAACTCCAAAACTTTCTGAAAATTGCTACTCTCGTTGGACGCCATGTTTCACAAATGACATAAGCTTTAACACTAAATGTGTGTACCATTTTTATAGATACATATCTAAGGACGAACGCCATAGGAAAACATGACCCGGTAAATGATTTAATGTACGTAATGTAGGAAATTATGTATTGAAATTAATTATCATACAGGTTCGGGCCAAAGTTTGCCAGCATTTCAAAATTATTTTATTTGTGTACAACTTTTGTTAAAGCATAAAATACTATGCCTAAAATTTAAATTACATATTAGTAATAAATGTACATAACACCTCAGGATTTTCTATTATTTACACTAAATTAACGAATTCATAAATACATATATTGTATTCTCTCATGTACATTCAATATTGGTATATAGTTGTAGGTAGCTATGATGGAATACAAAAAATATACACAATTTACAATTATAGGTCAAGGACAGAGAAGTTACAATAAATAGAGTATGTGTTTCGCATGTGTGGAGCGTGCGTGCGTATATGTTAAGTATGAAGGGGACACACACACATATATATATATATATAT